CAGCCAGTAGATAAAGGCCGGCTGCGACATCTAGTGGCTAATAGAAACGTTCACTTACTGCGCCTGCGCACGATTTATGCCCGAGTACGGCGCATGCGCGGTTGTATACATGCGCCATAACAATAATGGCTCTATTACCTCTCACGCATTGATGTACTATTGTGTGATATGTTTAACTGTAGTTTTATGTGTTGTTTGTCTTATTGTCTATATTGCTTGTCTATAATCGTGAATTAGCTTGAATAGAGGTGTTATAATGGATTCTAATTGGTTGCTATGCAGTAAAGTGAAATACTTATCATATTTGTTTGTATTGTTCCGTTGTTTTTTGTATCTATGATTGTCTTTGCATGATTTAAACTAATCCCTACGATAAATTTCATAAAATTGTCAAATTTGTTACATGTTCAAGATATTGTCATCAAAATGTATGTACTTTCCAAATCAACTCAGAATAATTTATCTAATTACAAATAACGCACTAATTACACATAAATAATACGGTGGCGCATTTGATTAAACGCTGTAATGTGTAAAACATAACTTGCCTACTAAACTGAATGTTTCTGTTGGACTAAATACATTTAAGAAGACGGACAGTCCATTAATATAGTCTAGCTTTCTAGAGGAGGAATTCGTCTCGCCGTGCTGCCAAGTTTATAATTAACAGGTTTCTCTAGACATAGCAAATAGCAAACCGCAACGGAAAAATGTTAAACTACATCAACAGACTAGTAATTGCGAAATAATATTATAGGATATGAAATCATCAGAAATAATTTGGTTAGTATTTTCCACCCGGATTTATTTATTTTTTAATTTTCACAGTTAAATGTTTATGTTTGTTTATTTTTAATTTTTGTCAAAAAGAAAGGTTACGTCCGGGATGATTCATACAGCTGAAATTGTATACAAACCCCATTACTATAGCATCTTATACAGGGTGGCAAAATTGTCCCAGAACAGTTTAACATTTCAAAAACTGATACAGATAGACCTACCAAACTTGGAACAAAGTTACTGCCAATAACATTTTTGAAATGTATTAAAATGTTATTGTTAAAATGTTAAATATTAAAATGCGTGTAACTGAAATTTCTATTTTCCTTAGTGTATATCCTTATAGCTACCTAGACATTAACTTAAGCTATTTAACCCTTACATTTTTTACTCTAATAATTACAAACTCTACTATTAGAGATCAAGTAGTATTTTATGTACAAACTAAATATTGCTAAATAAAGTCTTTTAAACACAAAAATCAACACCATCATATGATATGGGGTTACAATAAGGTATTTTGTCAGAGGTGAATCTTTCTGTAAAACTGTGAATGTTGGAGACTGGATGTTGAAGTTTAGAGGAAGGACGGATCACGGCGTAATGGAGCATTTTATGTCTGCCCCGGGCCGTTATTGACTATAAACCATTGCTCCACGTATTTATATTGGCATCTCCGCGGCTCCTTCCCGCACCCATCGATTTTCATCTCTCTCAATTTTAATAACATATTTTTTAATATCCTTTATCCAAAGTCTTAAAAAACTTGATTAAAACTTACTTTTAAAGGTCAGCATCTGGTCGCATTATTAGGTTTTAGCCATAAAAATGTCATATTCCCACTTAGGGTGTATGAAATTTTTATGGTTAAACCGATAGGTGTAGTTTATTGTTAAATGTAACCATCGCTGTATAGATCAGAAATAATAAATAAATTGGGTCCCTAAGCTAGAAGAACTTTCTCTAAATTGGAGATATACCTTCATAAAGAACAAAGATAGTTAGTTAATTCAACCTCAGTAATATAATGAGTCAATTAAAAATTTAACATAGATGATAAGCTGAAACTGAAATACTGTAAAATGAATTCAAAAAACCTTACAATATTGAAGGAGGATGTATGTAATCATGTTGAATTCAACGCGGAAAACTACTGTAGGCTAACATAAACAATATACAGGGTGAATAAAAAGTCAAGACCCCCCCCCTTTAATATTTTTCCCATTAAATATACAGAGATAACCTTTTGGTGGTCGTGCAAACTTAGCAGGAAGTTTCATTTTATGATTTTGAAATTTTTGAGTGTCCCCCCAAAAGGGGGGGATTTGGGGGGTAACTCAAATATTTTAAATGTAAACCCCCTTTAAGTGACACCTCATTTTGAAGTGCTTACAAAAACTTAAAGAATGGTGAAAACTAGAGGTCGCTATCTCTTTTCTATCTAAAATGGTAGCCCGTCAAATGTTGTAGAAAATCAATGGAAAAATTGGTTCGTAATAGTAATATTGGCTACCATTTTGGTTAGAAAAGAGATAGCGACCTTTAGTTTTCACCATTATTTAAGATTTTGTAAACACTTCAAAACAAAGTATAAAAAAATGGGGGTTTACGTTTAAAATTTTTGAGTGTCCCTCCAAAAGGGGGGATTTGGGGGGCAAATAAAAACTTTTCAATGTAAAACCCCATCAAGTGACACCTCATTTTAAAGAGGTTACAAAAACTTAAAGAATGGTGAAAACCAGAGTTCGCTATCTTTTCTCTATCCAAAACGGTAGCCAATATTACCATTACGAACCAATTTAACCATTGATTTTCTACAACATTTGACAGGCTACCATTTTGGATAGAGAAGAGATAGCGACCTCTAGTTTTCACCATTCTCTAAGTTTTTGTAAACACTTCAAAATGAGGTGTCACTTGAAGGGGGTTTACATTTAAAATATTTGAGTTACCCCCCAAATCCCCCCTTTTGGGGGGACACTCAAACATTTCAAAATCATAAAATGAAACTTCCTGCTAAGCTTGCACGACCACCAAAAGGATATCTCTGTATATTTACTTGGAAAAATATTAGAGGGGGGGGTCTTGACTTTTTATTCACCCTGTAGAGTTCATTCTAAGTTTGGATGTGTACCTAGAACTACATTACTGTATTTTCGTTTGAGCACATGGAAGTAAGTGTGGATTATGTCAATGATAAAAATAATTCTTTTATTATATCGATATTCAATAAATCGATTTCCTGGCTTAAAACTAAATTGTTTTGCCACAGGTTGGCTTTTACAAGATGATGGCGTTGGGTGTTGTTACCCCTTCACATACACCAGATTGTAAATGTAAGTGTAAGTGTGGTATGGACGTCACGCATGTCCGAGGGACGCAGACCGTGACGCTAACGTCATAGTAGCGTGACGGGGGTGGAGTAGCCATCATGCCTGTGTAGTGCCGCCCATCCACGCACTGCTGGGCGGGGGGTAACACCATAGGCTGTAAACCGTGCTTAGGTTACCATGGTTACCAAAGGTTCTGGCACACACCGCTGGGAGCGCCGTGTAGTTACGTAGCACGTACGCCGTAGCTACATGGCGCTCCCAGCCGTGTGCGCCAGAACCCATTGTAACCGCAGCACGGCTGACGGTCTATAATTCTTTTTGTCTATGGTAACACTGACACTAAATTGATAAAATTTACAGTCTGGTTCATCCGCACAAAAAAGAGCAATTTTATGCAAAAACCAAATTTATCTTTAGTTATTTGATGAATAAAAAAAAATACTAAAACGTCTTTTAATATTTAATGTTATGAAAATAAAAAAATAAATAAAAAACACTTGTAATTTGGGTTTTTTCCTGTTGGCATATATATATATATATATATATATATATATATATATATATATATATATATATTACTTTTGTTTGACAAAACTGTTCATGAGAGTTTGAAAACAATTTTATAATAGAAAGAGGACATCTTAAATTATCTTCCTAAAAATCCAAGTCTTTATCAATCCTTTGTAGTCCAAATATTTAGCAATGCATGTTGATGTATGCATGTACATTCTAACTAAATCCAAACTAATTTCATATGTAAATAGCCTACTGTATTAAAATAAATTTTCTATATTTAATTATGACATACAAATAAATCCTCAGCCAATTAATTTCTGCCACTGTTAAGCTCTCGTGGAAAGTCAAAATAATCCGGTCGCCTTCGTCCACACAAACGTCATAAACCAGCCTAATTAGGTGACGAGACTTACGATCAGCTGTTCGGCGACGCTCTACTTACATCTGGGCAAGGTGTTAACAAGGCGAGATAAACAATGGCCGTGAGATCGGGATTAAAGCCTTTTAAAACGTTGTTGGTCTGATTGCGAGTGGGCTGCGAGATTTAGGACAGTTGGCAACGAGATCAGCTGTTTGGGCGATCAGCTGATTCAGGAAATGTCGACTTGGACCGGTCCAATCTCAATGACAGATTGAGATAATGCACGAGGAAATAAGTGACATCTTAGAATAATTGGTACTTGAGGTGTTGGATTTAATTACTTAATGGTATGAAATAGTTTAGTTATAATTAAGTTTACGTTTCTTAACAGTTAGGTTATGAAAATTACACTATGCTTGTGAGAAAAATTCGAGAGTGTTTTAATAATTTTAAAAATACTCTATTAAATTCATTGTTAAAATCATCGTGTTCAATTACTGGATGGAGTAATTCCAAAACAAGGCAACATCAATACATTTACAGTATGTTGAGCGATGATTACAATAAGCTTATTTCCTGGTAAAATATTATTTCCTGGAAGTCAAAATATGACGACATTAACATTATTTTCCTTTGTCGTTGATGGTGTGATGTGTTTTTTATTTCTTAACCATTTCGTTGTTAAACAAGGTTATTTTCTCCCAAATATTACAACACATTACAAAATTATCCCCGAACATCATCAATCGAGTTCTTATCGTCGTTCTCGTTGATATAACCACTTTAGAAACAATAGTTCTCAATTCATAGATTTGCCTAGGTTTTCTCATCTTGTTTATGATTAGGGGCCTAACCGATAACATTCAATAACGTTGTTAACCAACTTAAAATTTTCTGAACTATTTAAAGCACCAAAATGACATTTTAATTTGTTTTTCTCATATCTAAATGACCATATGAATTGATTACTCCAAAATATTTACAATCCCCCAAAACTAAATGGCAATTACCTGATCTAACGTCCTATTCAAGGTAGTTCTGACAGTGGCCGCTAGGCGCGGTTTGGTCAACGCCGCTACGTTTGCTGCTATCAGTTGCTTGTAGTACAGCTCAGCTGATTGTGTAAGGAACAGCGGGCCCATCTTCAACACGTTGTTGTTATTGTTGTTCTTACTCTTGTTGTTGTTATTGTTTCCTGTCATCGAAGCAGAAGAAGAGGAGTCCACGCTATCATCTGCCACTTGTTTCACATCACTGGACATGATTGTATATTTTTTAAACACTACATGTATTACCGTAGATAGCAAGGAGTACAAAATGTACTACTTTATAGAATTCATTTTAGTTTAACGGTGATTTGATTTACCCTGTTGCTAAACTAAAATGTCTTTTGGGATTCCCGGTCACGTGTTTTGTATCGCCCATATCTTCTCTTTTATACATTTCGACTAAAACATCGACGCAAAAATTGGATAACCGTTGCAAATTAATATTACAGTGTATAAAATAGAATCTGTATTAAGTTTAAAACCAAAGCTTCACACGAAGATCGGGGAAAAATGCAACATAACTTTCCGAGTCAAGAAAAAATCAAATTTTAAAAACTCGAATTATAAAAATACAAAATTAAACAAAACTTCAATACAAGTAAACAAACCCCAAAAATAAAACACGGGTAGCACTCAGAACCTAGGAAATGTATCCAATTCAACTCCGACTCAAGGAAATCTGAGGAAAACGCGAAAAGCGTCCCACCCGCACGACAGACGCTGGAAAACTGGCAAAAAACCTCACATGAACATACAGGAGACAAAAAGAAAGAAATGCAGCGGGGGGAGGCAATATGGTATAAGAGGGGGTGGGGGGGTATTGCTCCTTGCGAGTACGCCGCCCCTGGCTCTCAGATATTGAATTTATCGGGGGGTGGCTCCATACCTCCCTTATCTATTCCAATTCGATATTATAATTCTTCGAATGACGGAACTTCATTGGACGATCAAGATTAATCTACTCACGCTTATAAACTTGTGTGTTTACTTCCTGGTATGATGTAAACACACATTAGGTTAGCTAGTGCCTTTGATTGGTTATGAAGTTTGACTGACAGCTGGGAAGTTGGTTAACTATTTTAAAGTTAGTAAAATTTGTTTATAAACAACTGAGTTTTCATAACATCACTATTATTTGTCAATTTTAACAATGGAAACTAAATACAACTTTTCGTCCTCCAAGAAAATAGCTCTATATAAACATTACGGAGAAAACTCTTTGGAACATCATTTTACACTTTGTGTTTTAATCTATACTAGTGTACATGTTGCTCGAATTCGAGCAATTTCAAAGTATTACAGGAGTTATTTTAAAACGAATAACAGTCATACTTACCATTAATTTAAAATAGTCAACTCAAGATTACCGGTGTGTAGCTCAGACCATTTTTGTGGCATTATTGATAAACCTAAAGCATTCCTGCCGGTTTTCTCCTTCTCAAAATGCCTCGCTGTACAGGCAACACAGGTCATTGATAGAGGGCCAATTGAGAACGAAAAGTCGTTTTGGGGTAGTGTTAGGGCGCATTTGTAACCTAATAGTTGAGATTGTCCAGGGTCAGGTGCTGACTGTGATGAGTTAAGCCTATTACGCGCCACTGTTCTGTAGCTGCGGTTGTTATCACGATTACGCCTCCTGTCTATGTTTCGTTGTCGTCACGTCGGAGGCATTTAAAAGAAAAAAACAACAAATAAACAAATTATAGCTACACAAAACAACAATAAATGCACAAATTTAAGTTACAATCATACTAACACGATCCTTCATAGCGACACAAAACAACGATAAATACACAACTTTAAGATACAACCATACTAACACGATCCGTCTTGGGGGTTATGTTTACACAAACTCAAATAGTAAATAAATGTACTCAATGCGTTTCATTGAATTGAAAAATAACAGCAATTAAATTATACAGCTGATCAAAATGTAAACAATTATGTTCTCCATAAGGATTACATGGGAACTTTCAAAGCCACTGGGGCAGAGCCCAAGGGACTTTTTCAAAAATGTAAGGCCAGTTTGCAAATCTACGTGACACGCTCTTTCCAATGAGACGTCAATGGATAAAATCTGTTAAGAAATGGCGGAGGAGTTCAACCGACAAAGTTTCATGTAGCGTATTAATTATATAGATTCTACATACTTTAAACAGTAGAGTAACCAATAAAAACCGTCCTACATTTTAACATAATATTAACTTGAACTAAACCACAATTATTATCTGTTTGGTAAATACAAGTATGCTTATAGTAGTTTGTTTGAGCAATTATTTTTATTTTAAGTAAAAAGATAAGTGCATCATTGTTTAAGAATAATTTGTGAAATGCCCTCCCAAAATCATATTTATTTTACAGCTATGATTACTTGAAGTTATTCTACAAGTTCAAAGACAAGTGGCTAAAAGACTGTGAAAGATCGTTGATTAAAGTGTAGTGCCTTTGTGAGAAGTGTGAAACTTTGTTTGGCATAACTGGCTCTTCTCTTTCTTGTACGGGATTTCCTAACATTGATAACATACTAGCCAACCTAAACTATGATATTACCAATACCATAAATATCAAAATATCATTACAATTGTTATACCTTCAGCTAAACTAAAGCCCTAAAATTCATTACGTAATGTATATAGTAATTAAATCTTGGTTTTCGTATATTATCAAATTTCTATTGTTATGTAAGATTAAAAATGCTTTTTAGTCTGTAAATTTGTCAAAGATAAATAAATTCAAGTTATAAACACAAATTAAACAACAGTTTTAACCCAAGAACTATCCTAACTTCTATATTATACATTATAGTTATTTTTACGTCTACAAATACCATTTTATGCCACTTTCGGATTAACAAAATGTATTTATTTCAATATAATTGTTAGCAGTTTGCTTTCTCACAAAGTTTCATTGAATATTATGTAAAAATAAGGCTAGTATTATTTTACTCTTGCTAGTCTATACTAGTTGATTACGGAGGTACAGAGCAATGATAACAATTTCAATCAAAATGATTGGATTTTGCTTGGTTCTTCTGTAGAAGCGTTGTAAACATTAACACTTAAACAAGAGTGTAAGTTTATTTGGATAAAAGACTTACTTTCTTAGCTAGCAAAGTTTGAAATGTGCAGATGTTTCTTTGCAAACAATAAATGTATTATTTATATTGAAAGGAGTTAAAAACCAACCCAGCAAAATCCAATCGACAACTAAAAATTCTGTCCAAGGACTGTAAATTGTACAAGGACTCCTGTAAATTGTACTAGGATAGCAAGCAATAATTTCAAAGATTTCACAAATTCACAAAAAAGTTATTTTAAACCATTTTGCTAAAGTCCATAAATTAAAATTAGCCTAATTGTTATTATTTCCATGCTATAAATAACTGTATTTAAATTAACACTTGAATCAGGTTTGTACACAGAGTTAACCTAAACTAAAAACTAACAAAGTTTACTAGGTTAACTTAAAAGCGAAAAATCGTTTTAAAATAAATATTAAACGGGGTCTTTCGTCCAACTTTTTTACATGAGGTTGAAATTATATACTACACTCGGGATGCTACCTAATAACCTAATACAATAATTGGCACAATAGGTGTTTGTAGGCGGGTCTACATTAGAATTTCGGCTGTTGGGGGGGGGGGGGGTTAAATTCGCTACCCCAATTTGGTTTTGGCTCACCGCAGCATCCTTTGTCAAGACAAACTTCCGGGTAATTTACGTCATTTGATACTTACCTTCTATTCAAATCAGTTAACCCTGTGGGAACCCAGAACCCAGGAAGAGGAACAATAATCGCCCGATTGTGCAATGAATGCTACTTTCGTAGAAGTTTTGAAATGGGTCGTGGTAGATACAAGTTAGAACAAGATGAGGTTAATTGTGTTAAAATAAAAAAGTTTTTGCCTTCCCATTACACAAAAAAATTTTTTTTGAACCACGAATTTCAGTTTTTTTTTATAATTTCTTTCGTCGAATACTACGCAAAAATTACATTAGTATTGAAAAGGGTTAACGATAAAATCCATACAAAAACCGGCTAAAGTAGGATTAATACCTAGGCGAACTGTTGCATAAATACTCATTGTGTGCTATCGAAGTGGATTTTTTTCGTAAAGATGAAAAATAGTAAATTAAAAACAATGGACGAGTTACAATATTGTTATCTAATTAGAATTAACAATTTAAATAGAACTAAAAATACAGTGTAGTTTCCTATAAAAAACTTTACAAGCGGGCGTAAAAAACATTATTCATGATTGTCGCTACATAATAATCTCAATATCGCTGCATGTACCCGCATTAAACTGGAATCCCATGAGTCCAATATGGTACTGCGTGATGCAATAATAAATGAATTTGTTCACTGCTCGCTAAATTATCCGGGAAGGGTAATCGGTGGTACCGTTGCTGTTACAAAGTAAAATTTGTTCGCCCGTTTTTAAATCCGTTTTTACTCGTCACTTGTCCTTAAAGTGGAGACAGATTTCTAAAGTAACAGGAGTGTTAGATTTAACTTGTTACAATGATAAACTTCCATATAAGTAAAGTAATTTTGAATTCATACTTACGTAAAAGTTAAAAAATAAAATACTTGCAATAAGAATGATTTTGCTACAGATAGTATTTTTTAAAGTAAAATATCCCTAAAAATATGTCGTTTTGAAATCACGTCTTTCTGAGTAATTTTTTGTTTACATATTTCTGAGTAAAATATATTTGGAAAGTATAATTAGAAGTGTTTGATAGATATTATAAAACCATAAATAATATATCAGTCGTTGAAAAATCTGTTGTATAAAAAACTCCTTATAGCCAAATTTAAATAGGAAGTGTATAACCATTGCAAATATTAATTTATAATCTTTACTAGTTAAGTAAATAATTAATTACGAGAATCACTAATTGTTATTACAAGTAACAAATTACGAGATTTCCAGTTAATTATTATATTTTAACCTCGATTATCCATATGAAATATATTTGTTAATTTCATTAAACAAGACATCTTCATATTTAACGCCGTAAAAAATCTTGAATTGGAGGTGAAATCGGACAAGCTGACAGAAGTGGATAGCATTTTTAATAAAAGACAACGACTTGAGGAGGGGGGTTTCCGACGGTCTGGACGGGGAATCTGTAAGTTTTGGCGGGAGGGTGGAAAAACGGCGCCAAGACGTCGCCGGCAGATAAAAAAATAAGTCACAAAGTGAAGTAAGATCCGCGAGTGGGGATGAAATGACACACTTATTTACATGGTGCAATGCAAGGTACTGCATAAGGTATAACACTGGACGTGATGCATGGTGTTTATATTTGTTAGACCTACATTTTGGAAATTGCTGATTGTTTACCAGATTATATTATTATTTTACAGTAAATAAATATGTTTATG